TGCTATACATTAATTTGAATTTGTAACTTAATAATAACCTAAGTTACTCATCTTTTAACAGAAAGGTTGTGCCCTTTGACCAACATCTGCCCATTTCTCCCACCTTCCAGCCCCTGGCAACCATTATTCAATTCTGTGCCTCTATAAGTGAGTTTTTAGATGGCACATACAAGTGAGATCATATAGTATCTTTTTGTATCTTATGTTTTTCACACTCTTCAGCTTCATTTTTGTGGTATTGGGTATTGAATCTAGGGTCTCACATCCAAGAAAGCACTCTACTATTGAGCCCCTACATAGCCCTTTTAATTTTGTTTTGAGACATAGTCCCACTTAGTTGCTCAGGCTGGGCTTGAACTTAAAATTCTCTCACTTCACCTCTCAAATAGCTGGAATTATAGGAATGTACCATTATTCAGAATGTACCACACAGGATTTCCTTTTTTTCATGGCTAAAGGGTAATTGCATAGATATACACCACCTTTGTTTAACGCATTCATTCTTTGACAAGGTACTTAGGTTGTGTCCATATCTTGGCTCATTAAAAAAATAGAAAAATGAGCATGGAAGTACAGATGCTCTTCAAGATGCTGGTTTCATTTTCTGTGGATATATGCCCTGGTATGGTTTAGATATGGTTCCTCCTCAAAGCTTGGTCCCAGTATGGTAATGTTGAAAATGGTGGAACCTTAACGGATGGGCCTACTTCAAGGAAATTAGGCCATGAGGGATTAACACTATACCCTACCTGCCTTCAGTTACCACTGAAGGGATTAATAACTATTTCTCACAGGACTTGAGTTAATTCTTAGGAGGATGAGTTGTCATGTACTAGGCTCCTTCTACATAGAACTGATTTCATTTCTTTATGAGAAAATGACCCAGACAAGGGGGCTTTCAGCAGAGGCTGAATAGATGAGGTCACCCAGTCTTTGACTTTTTACAATTTTCCAGAATGTGAACTTAGGAAAGCAAACAAACGAACAAAAAAATCCCCCCAAACTTTTTTCTTTTGGTCATATTGGGGATCAAATCCAGGGCCTTATGCATGCTAGGTAAGTACTCTGCTAGTGCGCTATATTCCCAGCCCTTTTCAGTTTTTATTTTGAGACAGGTAAGGTTGCCCAGACTGCCCTCAAAGTTATAATTCTTCTGCTTTAGCTCCCAAGTTGCTGGGATTACATGTGTGCACATGTGTGCCCCACTGCACTTGGCTTTTTGTAGTACCCCACCTCAGGCATTTTTCTTAAAGTGGAGTAATACATATAAGTGTTATTGCTGTGTATGATATGGTAGTTCTATTTTTAATTTTTTGAGAAATATCCATATTGTTTTTCATAACCCCTATACCAATTTGTATTCTCAATAATCTCAGTAACAAAGTAGACGTATATTATAGAAGTGTTTTTTTTTCAGAGAGGAAAGAGGGACCAGGGATTAGAAGAGTTTTAGTCATATGACAGTTATTCTTCTCTCAGAAATGTCCTTGTGAAGGTTATTTCATCTTGTTTACATACTATCTAAATGTAAAATATAAACATCACTCAGAAAATATAGCATTTTATTACATTAGCCTTTATTAAAAGATGGCAGCCCCCCATGACCTCCTTTCTTTAATATATTGTGTATTTCATGGTCTCGATGCCTTATCACTCTTTTTAAATTATAAATTAGGTATTCTCTAATTTCCTATTACCATTTCTGAGGCATGATACCTCATTCTCTACACAAAACCACAGAACAATAGCCACACTGAATTTTGTATTATCAATATCATCATTATTATTCTTTTTTAGTACAAATTCTTTCAAGAGGTAAATGCATACTTCCCAAATGAAAATCACATAAAGAGCGATTATCAAGTTGCTTTTTAAAAAATCATCCTTTAAATAATATATTAAAAGCTCATAAATAATAATTTGAATTATATTTCAAATATTTCCATTTTAATAATTGGATCTGTTCTTTTTATTTATTAGGACAAGTCAGTGTGGGTATGATATGCTAATCTGAGTATTAATGAGAATTCAGCATTTAGGAAATGATATGAACAGATAATAACCAATGTTATTCATGCCAGATAAAGGAGACAATGATGTGAAGCTATTTAGAGAGATTTGTGGACAGATCTAAAATTTAGCTGTGATTTTTTTTTTTTTCAGTCCAATCTAAACATTTGTCTGAGGCTTGTAAGAATTCTTAGCAGTGAATGATAATGAACAGATCCTCAAAGCAACTTAATTGTAAAAACTTGGGTAAATAGTAGGAAGGACTGATACATATTACTGTTACTCTTTTTACAGGATGCAGATTCCTCTTATTTTAAAATTTGGAAGACAAAACATGAGTGAAAGGAGCACTTGTAATTTTCTGGCCATTGAAGGGAGAAGTGGAAAACATAACAGCAATCTTATGCCCAGAAGAATAACTGAAGGCTAATTTGTGATTTTTTACTTCTTGATACAATTTTCCTTTTAGTGTACAATAAATAAGAAATAAGACTGTCATAAATCTTGCAAAACAGTATTAACATACTACATTCTTGAATAAAAGAATATTTTAAAAATACTTAGGCATTGTTATGGTTTGGATGTGAGGTGTCCCCAAAAGGCTCATGAGTAAGAATGTAAGATTTAGGCGAGTAATGGTTGGGTTGTGAGAGCCTTAACCCAATCAGTGAATTAATCCCCCATCAGGGAATAACTGAGTGGTAACTGAAGGCAGGTAGGGTGTGGCTGGAGGAGGTGGGTTATTTGGGGCGTGGCTTTGGGGTGTATCTTTTTGGAGTCTCTCTGCTTCCTGATCCTCATGTGAACTACATCCCTCTGCCATACTCTTCTGCCATGATGCTCTGCCTCACCTTGAGCTTTGAGGAATGGAGCCAGCCATCTATAAACTGAGACCTCTGAAACTGTGAGACCCCAAATAAACTTTTCCTTCACTAATTGTTCTTTTTCAGGTCTTTTAGTCATAGCAGTCAAAGAGCTGAATAAACAGCCATATAAGCTTAAAATCTAGGATCACAGAAATCTAACCAAAGAATAAACACCTATTTAACAGAATGTCTTTGTTCCATTTGTGCTTCTATAACATACCATATACTACATAATTTATAAACATGACAAAATTTGTTTCTCACAGTTCTGGAGGCTGGGAAACCTGAGATCATAACCAATAGGACTGTTCTCTATCTAGAAAGGACTGATATCTACATCCAAGATGGTACCTAGTTGCTGTGTCCTGCAGAAGGGGAGGGACACCATTTCCTTATGTGGTGAAGGGTAGAAAGGCAAGAGGAACAGGTCCTTTCATCAAGGCTTTTTATTTGGATGCCTATTCACTTTCATGATTCCCTTATCTAAAGGTCCTGCTCTTACTACTTGCATTGGGGATTAACTTTCAACATGAAAGTTGAGTAGAACAAAAATATCCAAAGCATAGTAACATAACTGTATGAAATATTTCAAACAAAAGAGAGTGCTGGGTAATGAGCAGATATAAAGAAGTATTTTGAATGATCCTACCTCCAAGATGCTTATACTCTTCAGAAGCATGAAGAGATACAAATAACTGGTTTGAAGCAGTAAGTAGGAATCGCAGCTATGATTTATTCAACATCTGTAATATGCCTCTTGCTATACTGGGGTGCTTAGTGTTAGTTAACTCATTTATTCCTCCTAGCGGCCATAAGGTAGGAGATATTATCTACTTTTATAGATGACAGAGCTGCACAAAGCAAGTAGGTAGAACTTTCCAATGTTACTAAGGTAGTAAGGGCTAAGTTCAGGATTAAACTCAGCTCAAGAAGACTCTACTAGCAACTGATAGAGTGTTCAGGAAGGAAAACAACCCAAATGTTGAGCCAGGCCTCTAAATATCATTCTGCCTTGGCTATTGGATGCAATTCTTCACTGTCTCTTGGTTCTCTAATGACTTTAAGCAGATTCTTTTTTTTTTTTTTTTGGCCTGGCTTTTCTAGTTCTCCATGAAGTGACTGGTATGATTTAATCTAGGCACTATTACTACTTACAAGTATGCAAGTGGGTTTTAGAGAAAATTCAGTAAGAGCAGTTTTAATATATCGTGGAAATATCAAATATTAGATACATAGGTCCAGTGTAAGAAGAAAGGTTGGGTCATAAATATATATATATATTTGAGTATCATCATTTTGTTGGTAATATTCTAAGTCTTGGGAGTAAATGAAATTGGTGAATACAGAAGAAGAACAGAAAATCTAGAACCAATTGTTGAAAAATTCCAAAATTTAGAGTTCTGGTGGAAGAGGTAATTGAGAGGAATAGTCAGGAAGATGGGAGGAAAATAAATGTTTCACAAAAGCCCAGAAGAAAACACAAAAGGTGATTCAGGAATGAGTGTTCAAATATACCAGATGCTACTCAGAGGATAGGTGAGATGAGACAAAGTGGCCTGCTGATTTGAAAATATGTAGGTAAATAATGACCTCAATAATAACTTTTTAAACTTTGGGTGAGTAGTAGAGATAGACTCCAGACTGGAGCAGATAGAAAAATGAATGAGGAAACTTCAGCCATGAATGAGGAGAAGCAAAGTCAAGGGAAGACATGGCTTGGCATCACTATAATAATAAAAATCTTTAAACAAATTAAAGTTCCTATTATGGGAGGTGGTCAAATAAATAAACAGAATGTCATGCAGCATTAAAACTGATCATCATAATTAATTTTTTTTTTATTTTTTTTTATTTTAATATTTTATTATTTTTTTTTTATTTCTCGGCGGACACAACATCTTTGTTTGTATGTGGTGCTGAGAATCGAACCCGGGCCGCACGCATGCCAGGCGAGCGCGCTACCGCTTGAGCCACATCCCCAGCCCCATAATTAATTTTTAATGACAAGAAATTTTTCTAAAAAAATAATATATAAAATTGTACAGCTAGTAAATCTCAATTATGTAAATCATAAACCCGAACTTGAACTCAGGTGTAATACAAAACCGCAAATCTAACTGAAAGTTAGTTCAAAAGTTATCCTTTAATGTTAAGAGTAAACTGGTCTACACAGTAAATAAATGGACTGATAATAACAACAATAATAAAAAAAACAGGTACATTTAAAATAATTTTAATTATTTCTAAGAAGAATACATCACTACATTACCAATCTAGCAGGCTCCTATAGATCTAGTTGGAAATTAAATAAGTAGAGGAAATTCATTGTCTCAACTGATGCAGATTTCATTGTTCATCCCTTTTATAAGTATTTGTAAAATGTTCCTAAGTAGCAAGAGGATAAAAATAAAATTCCGATCACATTATGAAAAAATTATCTCCATCTTCTAACTTTAGTTAATATACCTTAAGACATTAATAATTGGTAGTCCTTTTGGGGAGGTCTTTTTTTTTTTTGAATCAAGAAATTCATTTGAAAATAAATGCATAAGGAATCAGATCAATGAGCAGGCACACTCAGATTACCCTCAAATTGCTCTTCCTGTACATTCACACAATGCATGGGATGAGCACTATTTCTTTCACATATGTTAAAAAAAGATATTTGGAAAAGAGGGAGAAGATTTTATTGGAAAGATTTTATTAAAAGTTGTTAAGATTTCTGAGTTGAGGTACATGACATAAATACATCAGTATGAAATCATGAAATGTTAAAACAGTACAACATTTAAAAAGACTATAAAAATTATATTTTAAATAAATATATGTATACATTAACCCTTAAATGGATTTAAAAACACTGGTATGTATATTTTTTATGTATGTAAAAATTACATAACTGTTGACTTTTTTAAAGGCCAGTCACCTATCAAACACTTAAGAAAGCAACACAAATTTAATTTCTAATTATATAAAAATGTTTTATTGTATTTATCAAAGCCTACCATAATCCATAGGGCACAAATATTGGCCAATTTCTAACTTTATGTTAGACATAAAGATGCTGTTATTAATGTTTTTCTAAACCGTTAGATGATTAAGGGAATTCATTCTATGAAGCTTAACTTTTTAAAGGCATCCTTGGGGCAGGAAAAAGTCCACTAAAGTTACAAGAAGTTTACATTGTTACTTTTCTAGTAAAACATCCGTTGATGATATTACATTTATAAGTCAAAATGGGCTCTAATACAAACGTATACAGAGAGGTTTTGAAGAATAAATTGGATATCCCAGAGGAGGATCAGCCGCTTGAACTGTAAGGTTTCTTAGGAGTAGAGGATGTGCTTGTATACTATAACGCTCCTCATCATCGTTTGTGGCATAAAGCAATTCCCATGAAAGATTGGCCCACTGACCTCTAACAGCTTCTGCATTTAACTTCCCAACTTGTATCAACAATTCTTGAAGGGTCAGTACTCTCCCAGTATAAACTCCCTTTAAAATATAAAAGGGGAGGGAAAAGTGAAAAAGAAAAGAAAAAGGGATTACATCAGGACTTTTATATTTTACTTAAAAATTAGAGAAAATCTTGTTGCAGTTAGACAAACTTTCTCCCAAGATTAAAAACAAACGGGTGTTTTAAAATGTACACACACAATTTGTTTATATTTAGAGTTAAGAATCACCTGTATTTTCTTTCTTAGCTCTTTAAGTAAGTATGAGAAGAAAATTTTCCTGATAGCTATTTCATTTAATCTCCAGAACAGCAAAATTTCAGCTACTTTTCTTTTCTTTTCTGGTTTCAGGCCACATAACTTCAATAATACATACATCATATATACTCATCAGTGGGTAATAATGCAATAGGCTCCACATTAGAAACAGCTTCATTGAGATATAATTTATATTCTATATGATTTACTCATTTAACAATTATAATTCAATGGTTTTTAGTATGTTCACATATATGTGCAACAATCACCAGTTAACTTTAGAACAAAATGGAGTCCCATATTGTTTAGCTCTTACTTTCTTGTCTCTTCATACCCCCTTGCCTTAAGCAATCATAATGTAATGAGTCACTGAAATATGTGACTTTTCATAACTTGCTTTTCACACTTAGCATATTTTTGAGGTTCATGTATGTTGTAGCGTAAATCAGTACTTCATTCCTTTATGGCTGAGTATTGTTTAATTATATGATTGTACCTTTTAGCAACTATAAATAATGCTGCTGTACATCTGTGTACAAGTTCTTAGGTTGATCTGTTTTTGTTTTTCTTAGGTATAAATTTAGGATTGCTAGTTCATACAGTAACTCTGCATAACCATTTGAGAAACTGCCAGTGTATTTTCCAAAGCAACTGTACCATTTTATATTCCAACAGCAATGTATGAAGTTTCCAATTTCTTCACAGTTCCTTGTCATTAGTTGTTATTATCTTTTTGTTTCAGCCATCCTAGTGTATGTGAAGTGAGGTTGTAGTTTTGATTTGCATTTCCCTGATGACTAATGATGTAAATGCTGTAGACCATTTTTCATGTGTTTATTGGCTATGGCCATTTCTTTAGAGAAACGTTGCATAGTAACAAGTCCTTTTCCAGATATGTGTAATTATTTTTCCCATTCTGGGTTATCTTTTCACTTACTTGACGATGTCCATTGAAGCCTTATCTATTTTTATTTCTCATGCTTTCAGTGTCACATCTAAGAATTCATTGTCAAGTTTGAGGTCGTGAAAATTTACTCCTATGTTTTCTCCCAAGATATATATAGTTTTAGCTCTAACACTTAGTTCTTTGATGTATTTTTTTTTTATATGGTGTATAAAGTAAGATCTGGAGTGGGTTGAACAGCACCTTCAAAGAAAATATATTCCAGTCCTAGCCCACAGTACCCATGAATGTGAATTTATTTGCAATGGGTACTTTGCAGATATAATTTAAGGATCTTGGGATGAGAGCATCCTGCATTTAGGTGGGACCTTAAGTCAGTCAATGACTGGTGTCCTTAAAAAGAAGTAGAAGAATTGCCACAAGATGTACGGAAGGAGGCCATGCAAAGATGCAGACAGATGGATGTTATAGTAACACAAGCCAAAGAAAGCTAGGAACCACCAGAAGGAAGAGGTAAGGAAGGATTCTCCTCTAGAGCCTTCAGAGGAAGCATGGCTACTGACACCTTGGTTTCAGACTTCTAGTTCAGAACTGTGAGAGACTAAGTTTGTTTTTCAGTCAGTCTTTGGTAATAATTTGTTCTAGAAGTCCTGGGAAACTAGTATTAACAACCCAATGCCACTCTTTTGAATGTGGCTAATTATCCCAGCACCAAGATGACCACTTTTCCATTGAATGGAACATAAGAATTTTTAAATTTATTTAGATGTTTAATTTCCTTTTCCAACAATGTTTTATAGTTTTCAGGGTATAAATCTTACCCATTAAATTTCTTTCTAAGGTGTACAACCAGAGATATAAAAAATTGTGCTCTATATGTCTAATATGAATTGTAATAGATTCCGCTGTCATATATAACAAATTAAAAAAAAAAAGAAAGTGTAATATCAAATTTGGTATGGATCTAGGGTTAAAATTAGAAAATTAAGATCAAGATTAGGGTTTACCAGTGTTCATAAGAATATACATTTGAAAATATGCATGAAAACATATAAATATACATGATATGACAGAGACTAATAAATTGTAAGTTCTACAAATATATATGTTGTATACATTGGGATGCATGAATGAATCATGTATATGATATATTCTGATATACATGCAAATTTAACATTGAAAAACTCACAACTAACATCATACTTATTGGTTAAAAAAAAAAAAAAAAAGGATGCTTCCCTCCTAAGATCAGAAGACAAGGATGTCCACTGTTGCAGTTTTTTGTTAAACCTTGTATTAAGGGTTCTAGCCAGATGTTATAGACAATCTTTACGTCCCCATCCCCCAAATTCATGTTGAATACTCAAGTTATATTCCTAGTTCAAGTGATTTTATTATGAAAGATTATTGGATTTTGCTAAAATGATTTTTGTGTCTACTGATGATTATGTGGTTTTTGTTTTTTATCCTATGTGTAGTATATTATGTTAATAATTTTCCTTAATATTAAATCAATCTTGCAACCTAGTTAATCATGGTATATAATTCTTTTATAGAATAATGGATTCAGTTTGCTAGTATTTTGTTGGTAATTTCTGCACCCATAGTGATGAGAGATTAGAGATGTGTAGTCTTTTTTCCTTATAATATCTTTGTCTAGTTTTTTAAATCAGGGTAATAGTAGCTTCATAGAATGAGTGGGAAAAATGCTCCCCTCCCTTGTTCTGGAGGCAACTGTGAAGAACTGGTATTAATAATCATTTAAATGTTTGGTAGAATTAGACAATGAAGTCTTTTGGGGCCTTAGCTTCTTTCTGGGATTAGTTTTGATTAATTCAACCTCTTGTTTATTTCCTCCTAATTTTTAGTAGTTTGTATGAATTTTTTCACTTCATCTAAGATATATAATTTAATGGCAATAATAAGTCATAGTCATTTTTAAATCTACTAGGTTAGTACTAATGTCCCCTCTTTTATTTCTTATTCTAGGAATTTCTATCTCTTTTGTTTTCTTGGCCAAAGTAGCTAAAGATTTTTCAGTTTTGCTGATCTTTTTTAAGAATCAGTTGTTAGTTGCACTGAAATGTTTATATGTTTTTCTCTTCTCTATTTCATAACCACTCCTCTAATCTTTTTTTTTTCTTCTGTTTGCTTTTAATTTGCTCTTTTTTTCCCCAATATGTTGTAGGAGGTTGGGTTAATTTGAGATGCTTCTGCTTTTTTCCTGAAGTTCTGGTATGTGTGTCTTCATTTTCATTCATCTCAATGTATTTTCTAATTGCTCTTTGGATTTCTTCTTTGATACAGAGGTGACTTAGGAGTGTGTTAATTTCCAAATATCTGTGCACTTTCTAAATTTCTTTTACTGATTTCTAATTTCATTTTATTGTGGTCAGAAGACATCTTTGGATTATAACAATCCTTTTAAATTTATTGAGCAGTTTTATATCCTAGTGTATGATTTATCCTGGACAATGTTCTACGTGCCCTTGAAAAGAATACATATTCTGTTGTTGGGTGGAGTGCTCTATAGGTCTGTTAGGTATCATTGACTTACAGTATTGTTTAAATCTTCTATTTCTTTATCTAATTCTATTCATGGTTAAAAGTAGGGTATTGAAATCTCTAAATATTATTATTGATGCCTATTTCTCCATTTCTGTCAGATTTTCTTCATGTATTATACTGCTCTGTTGTTAGCTGCATATTATCTTTCTGGCATAATGTTTTTGATAAATTTGGCAAGTGTTCAGCCATTATTTCTTTGGATAATTTCTTTTCCTTCTTTTGGTAAGTTATGTGCATTTTGGTGCAACTTATGATGTTCCACATTTTCTGAAGTTATCTTCCTTTTTAACATTCTTTGGATAGTACAACTATCAACCTAAAATCTTTAAGTTCATTAATTCTTTCTTCTGCCTGTTCATATCTACCAGTGAGCCCCCTCTAGTAAATTTTTCTTTTCCTTTTTGTAAATTTTCTATATCTACTGACATGCTACATTTAATTTATAATTTTTTGTTGAAAACTGAATGGCTCAGATAACACTGTAAAAACTCTGTATGGTTCAAATATGAGATGTCTCCCCAAAACTCGTGTGTGAGATAATGTAAGAAAATTTAGAGGTGAAATGATGGGGTTATGGGAGTATGTTAACATCCTCCACAACAGGAATTAACTGCATGGTAACTGTAGGCAGGGAGGGCGTAGCTGGAGAAGGTGGGTCCCCAGGAGCATGTCTTTGGGATTTATATTTTGTCCTTTTGAGCAGAGTTCTCTCTCTGCTTCCTAGAGCCATGTCCCCAGCTGCTTTCCTCCATTGCATCCTTCCACCATGATATTCTGCCTCACCTCAGGCCCTAAGGAATAGAGTCAGCCATCTGTGGACTGAGACCCATGAAATTGTGAGGCCTGAAATAAACTTTTTTCCTATAACTGTTCTTGTCAGGTCTTTTAGTCACAATGGCGAAAAGTTGACTTGGGTAACTGATACTCCTTACTCCCTACCCCAGAACTTGCTATTTTTATGTACTATTTTGTTTAATGAATGACTACATTACTTTTGTGAGTAAATTCCTTCCCACCCCTTACTAACCCTACCATTTAACATCTCAGATATTGCTCCTCTGGTAGTGTATCCCTGTGAATGCTCACCATTACTTTGGAATGGCAATGGTTTGGGGAGAGCTATCTTCATTAAATAGTTATACCTAGCTGTTAAACTCCACTGATTGCCAGGTAGTTACTCTGTTTGCAACAGCAACCTGGGACATAACTTGCTCCATGGATTGATCCATTAAATTTGGGAAAAATTTTTGGAAAAGTTTTTGATGTCAGTGTCTGACATTTGTTCTGACCCCAGGAGTGTTCTTCTTTACTTCTTTCCCTAGTTTTTTAATCTAGCCAGTTTACAGTTTAGCTTGTATTTCTAATGAATATACCTTGTAATTGTTACAACCTCCATTGCTTTGGAGTGCATATTAGGCTTTAATGTGTTCACACTTGCAAATGAATCAGTTCTTTCAGGATGAATTTCAGAGTTCTAGGCTTTAATGATTTGCTTCTCCCAGAGGGGAAAAAAAATCTGTGGGCGAAGCAGAGTTCTGGACAAGAAGTGGAACAGTAACATGGTTCTGAGTGACACTTCTGCTTAAGGAGATACACACTTGGTGGAGGGGAAACAGGAGCCCCAGTCTTTCCAGTTTGTTTTTTTTTAGTGAAGAACCTCTATCTTATGAGGAGGCAATGATCATCAGGGATCCAAAATTATCGGTGATAACATGACAAAGCTTCCTTTCCACAACTGTAGTTGGCCAGAAAGTAATTCTTACCTCAACTATAAATACATAGAGTCTGACCTCAGCAACAGATAGCTGGAGGAAACAAGATGAGAAATACTGGACTCCTGATTTTCCTGAGAAAACAATCTTCCAAGTGGGAGCAGAGGGGAGAGAGGACCCTGTGTTCTTGGTTGTACCAGTCTAAATAGAGTTTCTGTATTGCTGAGAGGGAAGGCAGTCGTGGTTCAAATACTGGTATCTCACAGTTCTTACTGTTTTAGTATTGTTTTCTGAATTAGTGTTCTTTTATTTGCTTCATGCCCTTAGAATTATTTCTCAGGCTTTAAATGAATTTTTTTTTTTAAAGTTTATTATTCATCAGTTTTACTGGGAAGAGAACTTAAGAGAGTTCCTCACATGCTAAGGCAGGCTTGGAACCCACAATAGGTTCATAATACTGAATCTTTCGTATTGTGCACAATCAATGACATTTTAAATACAGTACAGATATTAAATCTTTAAAAAATCCCTATTTCGAGTATTTCTAAATTCTCACAGGTTAGATTTGCTTCAAATAAAGTATACATATCAGCAAAATAAATAATTTTCCATTTATAAATTAATTTCTCTTCTAGGAGTCAAATCCAAAATGATAATTCTTACTCTTGAACTGGGTATAGGAATCTGATCTATTTTGTCAAATATGCTATACTTGTACTTATACTTGCTATCTCATATGTTCACTGTTATATAATGACTACACATTTTTATTTGTCTCTGAAACAGCTATTCTAAGGTTGGACTACTGTGATCATTAAGTCACGATAAAAAATGTCTTGAAACTATGATTTTTGTGTGCATGTATATATCAAAAGCTAGAATACAATTATTAGTGTGAATATTTCATAACTGATTTAAGAACATTTTTAACCTTACCATATTCGGATCATATCCCAGAGCAAACAAGCATGGCTTTTCTTGTAAAATTGATTCCTTCCATTTTTCATCTGATATTAAACCAATGTACCAGTCACTTTCATATTCATGAAGGCAGCTGGCCAGCTCTTTAAAGTCTTCTATTGAGCCTAAACTTGCTTTATCAACCATTAGTTTCAGAGTATACCTAAAAAGAAGGGAGAATCAAACAGTTTTAGAATATTTTAAAATGAACCATAGAGGAAATGGATTTGTTCAATCAATATTTTTAAGACTTTGAACTGAAATTATCTATATTTCAGACAAAAAATTAAAGGAGAAATGATGCAGTTAAGGTGAAGAAATCCAATAAGTCATTTGAAAACTAGGTCCTTCACATTAAAAAAAGCAAAGGAAGTAGAAATTAAAGTGTACTGTCAATATGATCACAATACATACTAAGCATTTTTTTTTCATTTTTAAGAAATTGGCTTTAAAAACATTAAAAATCAAATAGTCTTCTAGGTGATTACAAACAAAATACCATTTTTCAAACAATGTCACACATTATAATCAAAATGAGTTACCTGAATGCTTTCAAAGTTAGTTGTAACAGTTCTGGTTTTTCTGTGAGCCAATCCAAGGCACCAGACCAGGGTAAAACACCATTGAAAACTCTTAATATATGACCAGGACTAGGAGTCACATTGTCTATTCCAATTAAACCAAAATAACAAGTCATTACTGTATGAACATAAAAGTCTTTTAAAACTTTATCCTTTGCAATTTCTTCCAGTAGAGTTGAGGCCTTTTCTTCTGAATAGAAACATTCCAACTGCCTTAAAACAAATTGGTACCAGTCTTCTGGAAACAATGAACTCAGCTCTTTCATTATGGCTTTAGGCATACAGTTAGACCTCCATTCTTCAGGTAAGCTCAGTAAATGAGAATAGGAACAACTGAAGTCCATAAGAGGGACATATGCCTTGTCTTCTTGTTTTCCTTTGTCAACAGCAGGGTATCCCAACATAACAGCTTTATAAAGACTGTTTTCAGGAACTGTACCTGTAGAATGATCACCAACTCTCTGTGAGTCTACTGATCCTGGAATAGGCAAATTTGTTCCTGGAAAATCTTTCAACTGCTTTTTTCCCTCTTTTCCTTTCTTGATAGTTGGCTCATCATCAAAAATATTATCATCAGACCAGTCTTCAAAAGTTTTGGAATCTAAACTATCTGTGTCTTCTGGGGACTTTGGACGTGGGGAAGTATTTGAAGCTGGCAGGATCACTAGAGGTGTTTCCCTTTTACTTTCACTTTTATGAATATCCTCTTGCAAGGTGGGCCTTTTGGCACAGTACTGAATGAGTATCCACACAAGCACTTTAACAAGGTCACCTTTAAATTCTTTTAAGTTTTCATGGGAATCAATTATGCCAGATAGGACAATCCTGGCATCAGAATATAGTCTCACAGGCAAAACAGTACAGGGGGTCAAGACATTCCCAAAGTGTTCATTAAGGGAACATACTTTTGTGTATTCTTCCTGCTCAAAAGCACTATCAAAAACTTCATCAACTCTCTGGGCTTCAGCAGTATGACAGGATGTTTCTTGTAATTCTAACCCCTAAGAGGAAATATAAAATACTTGAGTTTATGATCATTTATTACATAGAGAATAGCAACTAGTTTTGTAAATGCCTGTATATTCTCATCATAAAAATATGAAAAAAAAACCAAAAAAGTTATTTAACTCAAGACCTATACCTTAATACAAACTGGATAGAGATAGTAAAAACACCATTATTTTAAAATAAATTATAGAACTCCACTAGAAATTAGATAAATAACTTTATTGAATACAAACATAATTTTAAAAGCCTATATATACTGTCTAAGGCAAGTTACACATTAAAAACTTAAATTAGAATGTTTTGTAAGAAAAAAGGTAAAACTAGAATTATAAAGTATAAATAGTAGTTTTAATATATTTTCCACCAAACTTTATGGGAGTAAGAAAATCATTATACTAATATGCCACAATTTATGTAATTGTACTCTTGTTCCAGTTTTTAAAATGACAATAGGATAGTAACAACAGATTTATTTGATTACTGTCTATCCCCTCCAAATACAAGATGAACTCATAGCTTTGTTTTGGATACAACTATATCCCCAGTGCCTAAACCCATTCACAGTGAGTATGCAACAAATAAAGACTTGGTGAATGAAAATTAGGAACATTTTCTTGGGCTGTGGCTGTGGCTCAGTGGTAGAGCACTTGCCTAGCATGTATGAGGCACTAGGTTCGATTCTCAGCACCATAAATAAATAAATAAATAAATGTCCATCAATAACTAAAAAAAAAAATATGTTCTTACGCAAATTTTAAACACATTTTGATTACTTCCTTAGAAGGAATGACTTAAAGAGGACATACCAGGTTGCTGTTTACTATTATCATTAGTAGTAGTGTTAATTTATATTCTCAAAACTACCAGTGCCTTCAGAACCCATTTTCAAATCATGGCTCTACCAGGTGCTGGCACAAAATCAGTACCTACCCTGTTTCTTTTCCTTCTTTTTCAAAGAAAAAGAATCCTAGTACATAGGTTTTTGAAGATTAATTAAGTTTTGTAAATGTGAAAGTATAATATAAGTGTTAGAAGATGGCATAGTCTAAGTCAGACTGATTTAAAAAACAAACAAAAAACAACTGTCACTAAAAAGTATATTTTTAAAGCACAAAGACCAAAAGAAATGATCCATAATATCAGGTAATATTAAATCATAGCATTTTAAAAATAAAACAATCAAAATGTCCTTGATAATTTATATGTTTTGTAATTTCCTTCTTAAAGTTGGACATGTAGATTAGAACACAGGTTCTCAAACGTTAGGTGAGTCAATCACATGGAGCACTCTTAAAAGACTGTGGGGGCTATGTTTGTGGTTCAGTGGTAGAGCGCTTGCCTAGAATGTGTGAGGCACTGGGTTTGATTCTCAGCACTGCATATAGATAAATAATAAAATAAAGGTTCATCAACAACAGCAACAAAAAAGGACTGTTGGACTCAACCCTGAGTTTCTGATTTCGTAGGTTCAGAGTAGGGTTCAAGAATTTCCATTTCTAATGCTACTAGTTTGGGGACTACAATTGAGAACCATGGGTCTGAAGGGACAGCTTTTTGCTCACCAGAAATTTTACCTAATCTATGCTAAGACAAAAAAGTTCACTAATTTTTGGGCTGGGATTGTGGCTTAGTGGAAGAGCACTTTCCTCGCACGTGTGAAGCAACTGTGTTGTATCCTCAGCACCAAATAAAAACAAATAAATAAAATAAAGGTATTGTGTCCATCTACAACTAAAAGAAAAAAAATATATTTTTTAAAAAATTTACTCATTCTCTATTCATTTAACAAACATTTATTAAAGCCTGTTCTGTGCCAGGCACTGTTCCAGGGGCTTAGGATATATTCCTGAGTAAAAGTAAGAGATCCTTGACCTGTAACATTCACATTTGAGAGTAAGGGCAATCAACAATAAAACTAATAAGTAAATGTATCAGCTTTTTAGAGAGTATAAGTACTAGGAAAATAAAGAAAAAGTAAAGCAAGCCAAGGGTTGGGGTTGCTGGCATAGGAGTGGGAATATAATTTAAATATGAAGGTTGCTGGGTGCAGTGGCACATGCCTGTAATCCCAGCAGCTTAGGAGGCTGAGGCAGGAGGATCCCAAGTTCAAAGCCAGCCTTAGCAAAAGCGAGGTGGTAAGCAAGTGAGTGAGACCCTGTCTCTAAATAAAATACAAAATATGGCTGGGGATGTGGCTCAGTGGTTAAGTGCCCCTGAGTTCAATCCCCAGTACTCAAAAAAAAAAAAAAAGAAAGAAAAAAGAAAAAGTCTGTAAGAGATTAAGATGACATTTGAGAATAGACATGGAGGTAGTGAGGGAGTTAGCTATGTAATTATTTGGAGGAAGAGACTTCTAGGCAGAAGGAAGAGCCAGTGCACTGGAGTAAAGTGAGAGAATTAAAGTAGTAGATAATGACAAACAGGGACTAGGGAACCTATTTGGGGCCATGGCTTTTATTTTGAATGGAAGAAGAGATCTACTGAGGGCTTTGAGTGGAGAAGTGACATAATCTGATTTAGGTTTAAAGATCCTTTTGGCTGACTAACTGTAGGACGCATACACAGAAGCAAGGAGAGCAATTAAGAGGCTATTGTAATCATCTGGGAAGGGATGAAGGCAGCCAGAAGTGTTGTGAAAAGTTTAAAGGTGGAGCAAACAGAACTTTAGAGTGAATGTGGGGTATGGAAGTGGAAAACATGACTCCATTACTTTTGGCTTGAGTAACTAGAAGGGTAAAGTTGTTACAAATGACTGCTAGGCTCTGGGACACTCTGATGTGCAGATGTCAAGGAAAAAAAGAAAGAACCATTAGAGGAGATTAACTGGGACTAACTTATGAAATAAGAGTTAGAATGAAAAAAAATGAAATTGGAGATATGATAATAAGCAAATCTAATATAGTATTTTGTTCTTAAAGGAAAGAGTGAAGAAGGCTATAGCAGGTAGACACAAGTCAGAAGATGGTTTTTATTAAGCTGAGAATGTTTATATCATATATGACTTAAAATTATTACTGAATCACATTTTTGAGATGTTCAGTTAGATACAGATAAAAAAAGGTCAGGAAGAAAAGGAAGCAAGTATATTTTGTTTTCATGTTCTATTCTAAAATCAACACCAGGTAGCTATCATTATGTGCTTATTGAAAGTTGTCTAAAAAAATCACTAGGTGTTTTCACTGGTAATTAAAAGGACATTCTTCTTTCAATTTGAGTCACTGTTTGATGTGTGAACAACAGGTAAAATTTTACACATGTACTATAAAAACTATTAGAGAAGTTTCAACAATGCACATTGACCTTAATGTTAATACAGCAGTAAGTATAGCCACGTTCTAGAATCATTATCCATATTAAACGATCCTGGAAACGGCCCAAATAATGAGACCCAGGTAAGAGGAGACCTAAAACAAATTAGAAAAAAAAAAAAAAAAAAGAAAAGAAATTTTCAAGTTTGTTTCATTTTGCCATATGAATCTTCAAAATTAATAACACACCTAGAATTGATTCAAAATTCCTACCTTCTCATTAGGTCAAGAAAAATAACTATTCACTGTTTATCAGGAGTCACTGAGCTGAGCTCTTTGCAAATAGTTGGAAGAGACAATGTACACATGGTAATATATAAAAATTAAAGGATATATTTTTCAGAAAAACAACAGATTAGAAACTATTGTACAAATATATAAAAGTCAATTTCACGTTGCTTTAAAAGATTTTGGACAATTTTGTTTATATGCATAAAATATGTAACAATGTTTATGATTTTATTTATATAAAAGTCACATCAATTTACAACATACAGATATTTTTATTTTTGTTTTGTTTGCCATACTGGGAATTGAACCCAAGGTCTCACACATGCTAGGCAAGTGTTCTACCACTGAGCTACATACCCAGCCTAAAAATATTTTTAAAACTTAATTTTTCTTTCAACATCGTATCTCTGAGATTTTCTCAGGTTAAATGCAAACAGCTCCCAGATTAATTCACTATAACTGCTATTAAGAGTTCAGCATATGAGCTGGGCATGGTGGTACACACCTGTAATCCCAGCAGCTTGGAAGGCTGAGGCAGAAAGAGCACAAGTTCAGAGCCAGCCTCAGCAAAAGTCAGGTGCTAAGCAACTCAGTGAGACTCTGTCTCTAAATAAAATACAAAATAGGGCTGGGGATGTGTTCATTGGTTGGGTCCTGGTACCAAAAAAAAAAAAAGCTCAGCATATGAATATAATTGAATTTGAGTAATCTTTTGCTTGTTGATTAACATTTCAGGTGTCTATAATTTTTTACAAGTAATGCCATGGAAATAATCTTTGTGCAAGTACTTGTACAACATATTGTACAGGACTGACTGCTATTCTTTGAAGGTCTGCTTACAGCTTGGGCCTTGGCTGGCATCTGGGAACCATTCTATCTGATAAGAGTTTCTTGTTGTGCCTAACTATGCAACAAGAAACTTTTGTTTTCAAGAGTATTGATATCAGAACATACTAGGCAGAGAGGGGCTAAACAACCAGCTAGTATTCACTCTTAATGGATCTAAGCTAGAGTATTTATTTGACATATACTCATTATAAATTCATGTAAATACTGAGGGGAAATGTGTTTCCACATTACAATAATGAGCCTGTAATCTGAATTTATTTAAGAAAAGGTTTTTGTAAAAACTCTAAAATTACCTTAGTGAAAATTTACCTAAGAAATTTTGTCTTATAACCTTATATGCCTTCAAATAAGGAGCAAGATATATAGTTCTTATTTCATATTTAGTCTCTCTGCCTGGGCTTTTTCTTCTTCTTTTTGTTTTGGACTTTAAATAAATTACTGAGGTTTTCTTAAGCACAACCCATTTACCTACCTAAACTTCCAGATGAAATTGCAGTCTGCAATGCGGCAGTCAAGCTGGGGACCATTTGGTAGTAGTACACTGTATCTGCACAAACACAGGCTGTGGTGCCTACTGCTCCTGGCCAAACCTGAATAGGTCGAGGGAACCCCACCAAGAACACAGGCAGGGTAAAGAGGGGGAGCAAGGGAGAAGAGAGTAGTGTAGAAATAAATATGATGACCATCACGAATGGAGAGAAGATAATATTGAGTATACATAAAATAGTAGTTGTTTTTCGACGTTGCTTCTTTTCTGTCCATGATGTCACAAGTACAGTTGCAGCGAACTGCAATTTAGAGATGAACTGAATCAGACGATCACGCATGACACCAACCTATAGAGACATAAAAAAGATTTTTATTTATTCTTAAAGACTTTTCATGAATTTTTAGAATCACATAAGGAAAACAACATAATAATTTTATTATTGTCCCAGTATTTTTGAGGAAGTAGTCCTTATATGTGATTCTTTGTTAAAATTTTTTTTTAAAAAAAAATATTTATTTTTTTAGTTGTAGTTGGATATGATATCTTTAATTAATTAATTTATTTTTATATGGTGCTGAGGATTGAACCTAGGGCCTCGACGTGTTAGGTGAGCACTCTAGGGCTGAGCCACAACCCCAGCCCCTCTTTGTTATAATTTTTTATAAAATAAAAATGAACAAATGAGGTTACATTTTTAAGTTTGAGCTTTCTTTAAAAAAAAAGCCAGGTGCAGTGGTGAACACCTTTAATCCCCAAAACTTGGGATGCTGAGGCTGGAGGATTTCAAGTATGAGTCCAGCTTCAGCAAATTAGCGAGATCCTAAGCAACTTAGTGAGACCCTGTCTCAAAAATAAAAAATAAAAAGGGTTGGGAGTGTAGCCCAGTGGTAAAGTATCCCTGAGTTCAATCTCCAATAACCAAAAAAAAAAAAAAAAAGAAAATTGACATGATACTATCCATATTATACAGCTGAACAACTATATGCCAACATATTAGATAACTAAGATGAAATTGTCTCAATAAGAAATTTTAAAAAATTGGAATAGATTGAAAACAAGTTTAAAAAAAAAAAAAAGGATTAAATTAGTGATTTAAAAACCATCCAAGTTGGGGATATGGCTCAAGAGGTAGCACACTTGCCTGGCATGCACGGGGAGCTGGGTTCGATCCTCAGCACCACATTAAAAAAATAAATAAATAAAAATAAAGATGTGTCCACAGAAAACTAAAAAATAAATATTAAAAAATTCTCTCCCTCTCTTAAAAAAAAAAAAAAAAAAACCATCCATGAAGAAAAGCTGAGGCTCACAGGGCTTCAATAGTATAAAATATTACATACTACAATATATTTAAGATATATAAAGAATACTACAAAATATATAAGAATAATCAGTATCAATACTTCATCAACTTTTCCAGAAAGTATTCCATAGAAGAGTATGGAATCTTCCTAACTTATTTAATTGATATCTAAACTAGACAACATCATTACAAGGAAAGAGATCACACAGACCTATGTCGTACAACAGAAATGACAGACAAAATACTAGCAAGTTGAGTTCTCCAACATATGAAATGGATTATACAGCATGACCAAGAAGCATTTATCTCAGGAATTTAAGACTGGTTTAACAACCAAAAATTGTTGAGAGCCACAGCCGAAGCGGGCCCCAGCAAACTTTCAGATCGCCAGCTGATGATTGGCTCACAGCGCCCCAGCAACTTCTAGCTGATTGGCTCCTCTTGGGTGATGCTCATTGGGCTGTTTCCCTGCCCTTTCAGACCACGGAGCTGCTCACTGGGGGACTTTTTTGGCTCCGCCCATGTGACTCAGCCAATCCGCCTCAAGAGCAGGAGGATTGGGGGAGGTGGAGAGAGGCTTGTGTGGGAGAGAGAGGCTTGTGTGGTTCTAAAAATAAAGTTAGTTTCTTTTGACAAGTGACTCCTGATTTTGCCCAGCCAGACTGCGGCAAAAAATCAATCAATATACTATACCATGTTTATATATTAAATGACCAAACCACATGAGACACAGAGAAAACATCTGATAAAATCTAATATATCCTTCATGACAAAAAAATACTTAGCAATTGAAAGGAACTTCCTCAACCAGATAAAGAACAACTGTAAAAGTCTTTAGTTATCATGTTTAATGGTAAATGATGATATCATATTTAATGGAGAAAGAAATGAAATGTCCACTCTCACTCTTTAAACTGGAGTCCTAGTTATTGCAAGTATGAAGAAATAAAAGGCATCCAGGTCAGAAAGAAAGAAGTAACACTATCTTTATTTGCAGATGACCTCATCTTATATGTGGAACATTCTAAGAATTCACTAAAATTTTATTAGAATAAAGGAGTTAAGTAAAATTTTAGGATAGAAGATTAACATAAAAAAATCAATTTTGTATTCTATAGTCTAACAGCAAATAAGTAAAAAATGAAATTAAGACAATTCCATTTCTAATATCATCAAAAAGAATAAAACATTTAGGAATAAACTGAATAAAAGAAGTATTACCATACGTATACTGAAAACCATAAAACATTATTAAAATAAATTTAAGTTCTAAATAAATGTATCTTCATCTCATAGAACATGAATATCTCATGTTCACAGGTTGAATAATTAATATTTCTAAGATGGGAGTACTCCTCAAATTCATCTGGAGATTTAAGGCATTTCTTATCAAAGTTCCAAAAGTTTTTTTTGCATAAACTGACAAAATGAAATTGATATTTATATGGCAATGTAACAGTCTCAGAATAATAAAGATAATCCTGAAAAAGAAAGACAAAATTGGTAGACTCCTACTTCCCAATTTAAAAACCTAATGTACTACCAAAGCTACTATAACAAAGACAGTGTGGTACTGGCATAAGGCTAGACATCTAGATGAATGGACAGGAACTCAGAATATTCTAGAAATACATCCTAATTTGACTTTTGACAATAATGCCAAGAAAAGTTGGTGTGGCAGAACAGTCTTTTCAATAAATGGTGCTAGCACAAATGTACATCCATATGCCAAAGAATAAATATGGAGTCCTACTTCACATCATATGAAAACAGTAAATCTTTATAACCTTGGAGTACATGGGAAAAATAAACTTCATTAAAATTAAAAACTTTAAGGGTACACTTGTACATTGCTGGTGGGACTGCAAATTGGTGCAGCCAATTTGGAAAGCAGTATGGAGATTTCTTGGAAAGCTGGGAATGGAGCCTCCATTTGACCCAGCTATTCCCCTTCTCGGTCTATTCCCTAAAGACCTAAAAAGAGCATGCTACAGGGACACTGCTACATCGATGTTCATAGCAGCACAATTCACAATAGCTAGACTGTGGAACCAACCTAGATGCCCTTCAATGGATGAATGGATAAAAAAAATGTGGCATTTATACACAATGGAGTATTACTCTGCATTAAAAAATGACAAAATCATAGAATTTACAGGGAAATGGATGGCATTAGAGCAGATTATGCTAAGTGAAGCTAGCCAATCCCTAAAAAACAAATGCCAAATGTCTTCTTTGATATAAGGAGAGTAACTAAGAACAGAGTAGGGTCGAAGAGCATGAGAAGAAGATTAACATTAAACAGGGATGAGAGGTGGGAGGGAAAGGGAGAGAGAAGGGAAAGTGCATGGAAATGGAAGGAGACCCTCAGGGTTATACAAAAGTACATACAAGAGGAAGTGAGGGGAAGGGGAAAAATAATATAAGGGGGACAAACGAATGTCAGTAGAGGGGGCAGAGAGAGAGGAGGGGAGGGGAGGGGAGGGGAGGGGGGATAGTAGAGGATAGGAAAGGCAGCAGAATACAACAGACACTAGTATGGCAATATGTAAATCAATGGATGTGTAACTGATGTGATTCTGCAATCTGTATATGGGGTAAAAATGGGAGCTCATAACCCACTTGAATCAAACTGTGAAATATGATATATCAAGAACTACGTAATGTTTTGAACAGCCAACAATAAAAAATTAAAAAAAAAAAACTTTAAGAAAAAATAAATAAACTTCCTTTAAAATTAAAAACGTGTGCTTCAAAGGAAATTATCAAGAAAATAACAAAAGCTACAGGAGAAAATTTTTGCATATTATATATCTCTCAAGGGACTTGTATCTAGAATATATGAAAAACTCTTATAATTCAACAATAAAAAGATAATCCAAATAAAAATTGATAAAGGATTTAGACATTTCTCCAAAAAACATGTACAAATGGCCAGTGAATACCTGAAAAGATGCACTTTTAGTGATCAGACAAATGCAAATCAAAATTACAAGATGGTAGTTTGCACATATGTGTATGGCTATAATGGAAAAAGTTAGATAATAACAAGTGCTAGTAAGGCTATAGAGAAACTAGAATCCTCATACATTGCTAAAGGGAATGTAACATGGTATAACCACTTTGGAAATCATTTTGTATACCTTGAAGTGTTAAATTTGGAATTACTATATCATCAGAAATTCTAGTCTCAGATATACATAACCAAGTAAATAAAAATATATGTCCATACTAAAACATGTACAGAAATGTTTGTAGCAATATCAATAGTCAAGAGTGGAAACCTAAATATCCATCACCCTATCAATGAATCAAACCAACATAGTCTTTCTATATAATGTAGTATTAATTGGCAATAAAAAAGAATTATATAGTGATATATGCTATAACATCAATGTACCTTGAGAATATATAAATGAAAGGAAACAGATGCAAATGACTACATATTCCATAATTTCATTCAGGTGAAATATTCCCAAAGGGCCAAATCTACAGAGACAAAAAGAGATAAGTAGAACTGGAAATGTACTGCAGTGGTAGAGCACTTAACTACCATGTAAAATGCCCTGGGTTTGTTCTCTAGCACCATAAGAAAAAAAGAAAAAAAAAAAAAAAAAAAGGTAGGTAAGTGGTCACTGGGGCTGGAATGGGTGTAGGTGGTGGGATGGAGAATGGTAATGGAGAATGATGATCATTAATGTATATGAAGTTTCTTTTTGAGATGTTGAAATGTTCTAAAATTTAGATTGTGATAATGACTATAAAATTGAATATATAGGCTAGGGTTGTAGCTCAGTGGTAAAGTGACTGCCTAGCATGTGTGAGGCTCTGGGTTTAATTCTCAGTACCACATAAATAAATAAAATAAAGGTCCATCAACAACTAAAAATAAAAAAAATATATATATGCTACTGAACAGTAAACTTTAAATGGATACATTTTATGATATGTGAAATATATCTCAATAAAACTGTTAAAAATATACTTACCAATAAAAGTCTGATTCCTGTATTCAGGCTTCTATTCCACCATAAATCTGAACTAGAGATCAGCAAGTGCACTGCTGACACGATGGCTGTCTCCAATAAAGCATTTTCTGTATTCTGCCATACCTGTAGTATACAGATTATCTACTTTTATTGGGTAGAATCTGATAATTTAAGCAAACTGTTAAACTAAAATCATGAGTTTAGCAAAAGGAAAATACTTAGTGCATATTAGGATTACCATTCTAAAAGCTCTTGTGAATCCAATGGAGACAGAGAAAGAGTGGAGCTCTTGTAAGGAACTATCCAGTGAAAGAAATGCTATCATAGCAAAAGGTGACACTTAAACAAAACAAAGAAAAAGAGAAGTTTATAATTAAGGCAAATTTTGTTTTGGCAAATATGAATTTTTATAAGTACATTCAAGCAATTAATTAAAAACCCTAACAAACGAAAAACAAAACATAAAGAACACATACAGTGTAATACACAAATATGGGTATTCCATTATATTTTTGAACAATTCCTACAGATAGTTTGTAACACAAGGTTAGTAGATAAATTCTCTTACCTAGAGTTAGCAATATCCGTCTGACAACACCAATCTTCAGGAGCTTTGTTTGTTTCTCTAAGAATACAGTCACAGTCTGCACATCCTTTGGATAAAAAGGATTTCGGAAAATTCCAAAGATATAGATGCTTTGAATTTCTTTAAGTATCCACACTATTATAAGTAACATCATCAAGATATAGCCAACAATATCCTGGGAACTGCTTTTGGAAATTTGTGAGAAACCAGCAAATTGATGTAGCAAACTAGTTTCCAGGAGAGCCAAGACTAGTACAATGATGTACAAAACACATTCCTTCCACATAAACAGTTTTTCTGAACCACTGGGTAAAGCTTCAGATTTGTTTCCTACTCTGTGTTTCATCATACTGTGTTTGAAAACAAAACTCATGTCACTTAGGTTAAGACTCAGTAATAACCCAAATCCAGTCATGAAAAGAAGAACACCAATAGTGCTGGGAATATAATATGATATTATAGCCGTTCCAGCAGAAATGATGAACATTACTAATAACCTGCAGAGGGAAAAACGAGAACAGATTTACTTGAAAAGAAAAATGCTCTTAATGAAGTTACATTTAACATCAATACAAAAAAAAATTACCGTAGGTGAGTTGACATGCATGAACCTCCAAGGCCAAACTCTAAAATCTGCTCCATTGCCCATAAGAAAAGTGCATCGGGTGGGGGCAGAGTCCCAAGTGCCCACAGAAAGGGTAAAAATATAAACAAGACATGTAAAATCTGATTCACTTGTTCTAGAACTGGCATATTTACCACAAATCTACAAGAAAAAGAAAACATTTAAATCATACAAAATAAGATATAGCAGAGGATCTTTCTAGAAACATAATACCACACACCCTCGCGCACATAAAGAACACTTAGAGAAAGGTCCCAGTCCCAAATTAACAAATGACCCATAATACTGTAACACACTGCTCCTTCTCTAAACCAGCAAGTACCCTTACTCAATTGTGTATGTGCTGGGAATATAATATGATATTGCAGGTGTTCCAGCAGGTTAGAGAAATGGACTTTGCTAACACTTGGTAGGAAGACAAAAATCTATTAACCTTCGGTTACAAACCATATGTAGGAAGTGCTAAAAAATATGATGAAATCCACATGTGGATTCAAATGAGCAAAGGAAGGAAGAAGAAATTAAAAGTCATCACTGAATAGTAATAAAATTGATGTAGGGATTTGTTAAAACTGAGGCCAGAAGAAACAATTTCCTCTCCTAACTCTAAACGTACTCTGGCTGAAATTTTATCAGTATTTCTTCAGAGTTTAATATTTTATAATATAAAATTGCAGGTAACCTTGGGAAAGTGAAAGCCTTACTAACATTCATATATTACTAGCTTGCAGTATAGTTAATATCAACAGTCAGCAACATGGTCACAACTATATCTCTATGAGTTAACTGGGGAATGTAACTAGCATTTTTGATACTGTTCTATTTTATATAAGCAAAAAATGGCTTTGAGAACATAAAATCATACAACATAATCTTGTCACAAAGTATGGGCTGCCTCTACCTTAAGCGTAGAAAGTGATACTTGGTATAGCACTTCCAGTGAAAATAAAATATTACTAAATTGTTTCAAATAATTTAATAAAAATTTAAAGCATAGAAAAATAAACAATATCAATATATTGCTAATTTTCTGGTATAAGGCTAACTAAACACTGTGTCTGGATACTAATAAAGTCAGGGTATTTATGGAATACTAAAGACTTTAGAAACAGAAAACTATAGTTCAAAACTTATAATTGTGCTTGAATATCTCAGCTGCTAGTTAAGGAGAGAGAAAACATATACAAAAGGTAACTATTTAAGTATATGTTAACAGCCAAGAAACAAATGTAGAGCAACTATGGACGTAATAACGGTATAACATATTTGCTCACAGAGATACCAGGACCTACACCATCTAATATACTGTCTCACAATGTATGTCCTTCAAATTATTATAAGCAGAGAATGAATGAACACTATGTTAACAATGTGACAATACTTCCTGTAGTATAATTTTAAAATAAAATTCATTTCATTCTGAGAACAATCAACCAACAAAAAACAAACCACACATAAGCCACAAGAAAGTCAAGAAAAAATGCAGATCTGTACAGCACATTTTTCCCAAGATAATAATATTCTTGCAAACACACTCAAGGATAGGATATTTATATATAAATAATGTACACTCAGGAAATATATTTACCAAAATTAAGTTCTACCTTTAAATCTTTTATTCTTAAATAATGTGCAATGACACAGTACTTGTATACAAGAATATTATGAATAAGGATACATAATTGAAGTAACCAAATATTATTTTATGTAAGACTCAGCTTCAAAATGGTAATCATAGTTAATTCTTTTACAAGAAAAAAATGTTTGAATCTAATGTTTCTGATGATGTTAACTAACATTAATTTTCTGGAGTAAAAAAAAACTCAGCTCTTAAGAAAAAATTGTTATTTTGAACTTAACAACTATGAAAATACTTTGAATTCTGAATATTCACTAGGATCCACATGCCATGCAAAAAGTGTTCTGTAATAGTGGCAAGGAGGATGCAAACTGTGTGTCATTCTTTCAAATAATTCCTGAGAGTCTGAGCTAAAGCACTATAAATTAAATGTTTGGTTTTAAAAAAATATCCATTTTTTAGTTTTAGGTGGACATGATATCCTTATCTTATTTTTATGTGGTGCTGAGGATTGAATCCAGAGCCCCACGCATGCTAGATAAGCGCTCCACCACTGAGCCACAACTCCAGCCCTAAATGTTTGTATTTGATAAAACAAAAATGCACAGTAATTTAAAATTATTATCACACAACTGCATTAGGTAAAGAATGGGAAAAGAAAAAAATTACACTATAGAAGTGCAACTCTTCAGCTTTCTTTCACATCTTCTAAAACAGAACTAAGACATAATTAGATTTCCGACAATTGTCCAGATTTTAAGAGTGCATGCATTTCATGCCCCAGTTTTATCATTATACCTACTGTATAAAGATCATCAATTTTTTATTATTTTGTTATCACAAGTTAAATTTTTCTAAAAATGAAATGAGAGTTAATTTCCTTGCATAAGCCACTTCCTTCTTTAAAAATAGTAATGGAGATTCCCCTAGGTTTTTGTTTTTCTTTAAGTCATAGTAAAAAAACAATAACCCCCCCCCCCCACAAAACAAAAACCCCTTTCAATTATCTAACTTTAAACATTAAAACAGTATATAAAAACCTTTTATGCACTTTGATTTAGAAATTAGCACAGAAAGTCAAGGTAACCAAATTAAAAATTCAGCCTGTAATTTCTTACAGAAAATTAGATATACTATAACACGTATGTAATTAATGATTTCAGAAATGGCCTAGTGAGATAGTAACTCAATAATCTGTACTCTGAAGATCATCATCATAATCTTATAAACTTAAAAATCCTGTACCCTTGCACAGAAGATCCTATGTATATACATACTCAATATTTTTGCTAAACTGGGTATAGTGGCAAATGTCTGTAGTCCCAGTGATTCTGGAGGCTAAGGCAGGAGGATCACAAGTTTGAGGTGACCCTCAATAACTTAACAAGATCCTCTTAAAATAAAAAATAAAAAGGATGAGGACATAGCTTAGTGGTAAAGTACCCCTGGGTTAAATCCTCAGTACCAAAACCAAAAAACAAAAATACACACACATATACACACAACACAATACTACTAATTCTTCAAAATTAAGCATTTAATTGTAATTATCTCATAGTAAGTAAATGATATTAAGAAGTCAATTTAGATAAATTTCCTATTGGTTAACTCTTCTCTTATATATTTGGTTAGATGAAGAATTACTATTGTCCTGTGATCCATAAACACAGCACAATTAGAAGAGATTCAGAATTATGGAATAGCAAATGGACTCTACAGAAGGTCAGTTTTAGTATAAAAAAGAAATATTTTTAAGTCTTGTCTTAGCTTAGGTCGCATTAACAAGTACCATAGAGGGGGTGGTTTAAACATCACGAAAATAAATTTTCTCAGTTTTGGAGGCTGGAAGTCTAAGATCAAGTGTTAGCAGGGTCAGATTCTGGTGAGGGTGCTTTTCCTGGTGTCTGAGAGATCAAGTTCTCTTGAGTTTTTCCTTATAAAGGGAATTAATACCATGAGACTAGGACTCCACCTTCATGATCTAATTAATTCCCAAAGGCCCCATCTCCAATTAACATCACATTGAAGGTGATAGCTTCACCATAAGAATTTTGAGAAGACAATTTGGTCCAAATCTTTCTATCCCTATCCCTTGTACTCACTCCCAAATTCATAACCTTCTCACATGCAAAATACATTCATACTGTTCTAATGGCCCCCAAATTCTTAACTTATCCCAGCATTAACTCTAAAGTCTCATCTAAACATCATCTAAATCACCTGTAAATCTACACAAGTACTGTACTTCCAAAATACAGTGGTAAAACAGAAATAGGAAAAACATTCCTTATACTCCAAAAGGGAGAAATGAGAAAAAAGGAAAGTGTGATAGATTCCAAGAAAGTTCAAAACCTAACAAAGGAAATTCCATTAGACCTTAAGGCTTGAGAATGATTTTCTTTAGTTCCATACTCTGTCCTCTAGGCCCTTGGAGTTGAAGTGTCACTCCCACAGCTCTACACAGGGGTCCTTCTCCTCTGATTCTGAAGGGTGATCCTGCCCTCCAAGGTTTTAGGCAGAGGTCGTCTGGCCTGTTGAACTGAGGTATGGCCTTAATGATCACTTTGGGTATAATTTTCCCTTTTCTTATAGAATAATGCACATTTTTTTTCTTTTGGTACTGGGGATCAAACTCAGGTGCTTTACCACTGAGCTAAATCTCCAGCCCTTTATATTTTTTGATTTTTAGACAGGTTCTCACCACATTGCTGAGGACTTCATCAAATTGCTGAAGCTGGTCTTAAAACTTGTGATTTTTCTGCTTCTGCTTCTGGGAATTACAGGCATGTGTCACTGCTCCCAGACTGCAGTTGAATAGTTCTATCACTGTCTTGTAAGATCCAAGAAGTTTAACAGGCTTCCTTCATTTCATTCTTTCTCAATTTCCTTTAGTTCAAACTGGCAGCGTTTCTACTCACGTAATCCCATAAACTCTCTTCTTAAAAAAAAAAAAAATTTTTTTTTTGTAGTTTTACATGGACAGAATGTCTTTATTTTATTTATGATGCTAAGGTTCAAACCCAGTGCCTTACATATAGTAGGCAAGTGCTCTGCCACTAAGCTATAGCCCCAGCCCCCATAAAAATCTTTAAAAAAATATATTTATTTATGCACGTATTTATGTATTTGTGTGGTGCTGAGGATTGAAACCAGTGCCTTACACGTGCCAGGTGGGTGCTCTACCACTGAGCTACAACTCAAGCTCAAAAACTCTTTATTAAGGAATAATCTAACCACAGAATATGCTTTCTCATGTTTTCCATATATGAATAGGTTAAGAATTTTCCCAAATTTTCAGGTTCTGTTTCCTTGTTTTGCTTAACAATTCCCTCTTCAATTCTTCTGTTTCCTTTTGCATTTTACTATAAGCAGTCAGAGGCAATCAAGCTGCTCCTTCAATACTTTGCTTGGAAATCTCCTTACCTAAATATCCCATTTCATCACTCGCAAATGCTACAACACTGTGCAATCAAGTTCTATGACACTTAAAAACAAGGATTACTGTTTTTTTTTTCCAGTTTAAGTAACATATTACTTATTTCCATATGAAATCTTATCAGAGTTACCTCTAACATGTCTATTTCTAGCATGCATGCCAAACTCTTATAGCCTCTACCCATTACCCAATTACAAAGCCACTTCTACATTTTTCAGGTATTTATTATAGTAGCATGCCACTTCTTAGTACCCAAATCTTAGGGTGGGCTACCACAATGAAATGCCAGACTTGAGTAGTTTAAACATAAGAAACTTATTTTCTCACAGTTCTGGATGCTGGAAGTCCATGATTAGAGTTTTATGTAGCATTCTGGTGAGAGCTTTCTTCCTGGCTTATAGTCAGCCCCCTTTCTTGCTGTTCTCACACAAAGAGATAAAAAACTCTTCTATGTCTCTTAAAAGAGTACTAAGCCCATTCATCAGGCCAGGACCTCACTTTCATGACCTAATTATCTCCTAAAGGCTGTATCACCAAATAATATCATACTGGGGTTTGGGATTCAATTTGTGAATTCTAAGTGAATACAAACATTAAGTCCATAATATGCCTGTACACCTAACTTGGAAAAGAGAAATCTGTAATCTACAGAAACAGAAAGAAGTCAGGGTTAGCAAAGGAAAGCAAGCAAAAGTTATTATCAAACCATTTTGTAAATAATTATATTTTAAATGTTTTTATTTTTCTTCTATAACAAACTAATTTATAAATCAATATTCCTCCTATATAACAAAATTTCTAGTCATCTTGAATTCACTCAACCTGAATAATATTTACACATATAACTTTTAAATTATTCTTTCCTCATTCTCCTCAAGAAAGTTTCATTGTTTTCATAGGTTTTGGCCCAGTTATCTTATAGATTCTCAATGGTCTTTCTTTAAAATGAAATACAGGATTGAAAAATAGTTTACTTTTCTTGAAAAAGGAATTTTCCCCTTTCAGTATGATTTAATTATTACTTTTTAGCATAAATGTTTTACATTGATTACTTCTAAGATTAATCATAAAAACAACCCATCACCCAATGATTTGGGCATGATTTTTAATCCAGATTCATTTTTTTAAATACTAGCAAAAGCTCTCTTATCAGGTATACATAAAAACAAAGCAAGTTATAAAATATTTGGTAGGTTTTTTACCTGTGTGCAAGATCCACAGAAACAAAGAAAAAAATATAAATGGGTCTCATAAGAGGAGTGATTTCATAAGTATCCTGAGGTTGGAAAGTTGCAGTCTCTGTAGCTGTGTTCACAATTAATGAGTATTCTCCTATACAGAGTGTTATCCATCCAAAGACAAATAGAGGAGCAGTGCCTCCTATACTGCCATACAGCAAGGTTATTCTATTTGGAAGCAGATACCATGTTCCAAGAGCACATACTAGCCCAGCAAGAACAGAATGAAAAACTATATTGGCTATATATTTCTTTCCAGGAATTAGAAATTTGACAGTCTCAGCACCAGCACAGCTTGTAAATTCATGCTCATCTTCCTCTGCTAAGATATCTGTAGTTAGCATTCTTTGTACTGTTGCTGATTTGTTTTGGGCATATAAACTTGTGAACTGGATGACAAATGCAGTGAAAAGCATTAGTCCACCTGAAAGTGATGCCGTATAATAGTCTTTCAGGATGCCCAGCTGGTACAAAAGTGTTCCTATTCCACCCAAAACCCATGGCATCAGAAAAAGGATAATTTGATTAACATATACGTAAGGAGGGGCATAAAAGCCTAATCTGAGTCGAGGGCCTCCTAGAACAGTCTGTGGAAAGCGCTTCAGAAAGAAGTCCTGTTTGTAATCATTCAGCAGAGGCACATCTGGACTCATCCTTCTCACGCAGGATTATTCTGAAAATCACATCCTTTTCTGTAACCAGAAGTCTCTAAAAAAAGAAAAAAATACCACTATTTGAAAGTGCCATACTCAAAACCTACAGTGGGAATCACCCCATATTTCTACTTCACATTCTTTATTCCTTTAAGAGCAGGATTTATACCTTCAGTTCTCAGGCTTCTTATTATTACCTGATCCTTGGCACAAAGTTGTTGAATTGTTAAAAAACAAAATAAATATGATAAGTTATTTTTTAACTTTTTAAAACAATATTCTATATTAATTTATTAAGAAATTAATATGTAGAATTAGATCTGAACTCATATTTTTAAGATTCTGAGGTCAAAGAAAAGTTAAAAAAGTCTGCCAGTAATTTGGTCACTTCATTGTGAGTTTTTGTTGTTTTTAATTTTTTCTTTTATTATAAGAGTAGTTCAATTTTTTTCTCTCAATGGTCAGATGGTAAATATTTTAAGCTTTGAGGACCATTAGATCTCTGTTACAATGACTCTATTTTGTTGCACTAGCAAAAAAAGTAGCTGTATACAACACTATATATAAATGGATAAGAGTGATTGTTGCAATAAAGCTTTACCATATTTATCCAGATAAGGTATGGGCCAGATTTAGCCTGAAGGTCACAGTTTTCCAGCCTTCACTGAGTAAAATAAAGATTTTCCACAATTCCCTTGAATTGAAATGGAAATAGAAGTTTAAAATAGAAAACCTGTTAACCATATCACTTAACAATTATGGTAAAGTTAGCGCTATCCAACTAATATAAAAAGTTAAATCCTGTTGAAGTAAGTAGTATTTCAATAAAACTCCATATGGTCATTGGCAGCTCAATACGTAGTAGGAAGAACAATAAACTGGAAATTAAAAGGCTTTAAGTACCAGAGTGGATGCTTATTTTTATTAGCTGTGCTTCCTTTTTTAGTTGTTCTGTTGTCAGTTTCCAGAATCTATCAGAACTGGAAAGCATGGAATAACAATAGGACCCATACATTCTTTAGTGTAGGTTATTTTCATTAAGGGCCAGAACAATCTAATTTTTAAGTAACATGGGTTCTCTTCAATTTAACTTACTCAGCTGCTTATTCTATTTTATTTATTTATTTGTTTATTTGTTAGTTAGTTGTAGGTGGACACCAATATCTTTATTTCATTTTTACGTGGTGCTGAGGATCCAACCCAGTGCCTCACACGTGCTAGGCGAGCGCTCTACCACTGAGCCACAACTCTAGCCCTCAGCTGCTTATTCTAAAAAAAAAAAAAAAAAAGCTGTCTGACACAAGATCAACTAGAAAAGTATTACCTCAGTTAATCATATGTAGGGCTAGAAAGAAAAAATTAAAGTCATCTTAAACTAGCTTTCTTTCAGTCATTTTAAAATAGTCTTTCCACTAGTTCTACCAAACCAATATTGGGACTGAAAAGAGCTTTAGGGTGCCATTAAAGGCTTTGGGTCAGCTTTAAGAATTAATACCTTAAAACCACATCTTTATTATACTATTAGAAAGTTTTTTAAAACTGTAAGCATCTATCTTACATCTTCCAGTCACTGTTTTTTGGTTCCGCCCAGAACAAATGACACCTTTCACTCATAGGACAGCCCTGCAAGGATTCACAAAATAACAGAACCACAGGACCACATATAACCTTCACTGTCCCAGGTTCAAGCACAGAGAATGAAAAGACTGCCTCCCTGTCCACTGTATGAGCTTATCTCTTGCAGTGATGCCAGGCTCCTTATACTTTATTCTGATAACACTGTCTTGTTCAAGTCATAGGGTAAGTGAGGTCACACTCATGTGGATGGGGGTCAATATTTTGATATCATTTTCCTATGGAAGATCCATGAGACAGGAAGATGAATTTGGATAGACTGATGAATCCTGGATGAATTGACACACTTATATGGCTTCTACCTCCAGCATGTTCAAGTGAAAACTGGCTCAAGACATGGAAAACAAAAACTGTAAAAAAGAAGCTTAAGAGATAAAAATGGCATCAACAATTGTCTGATTTTAGCAAAGTTAACTTAAAAAAAACTATCATTATTCTATGAAGAGAATGAAGGCATCCATGCTTCTAAAATTTATTTTACAAAAATTGAAAGGAAATTTACTGAAGTTTTACTGTTCTAAGCATCACTGCATTTATTAAAATTTTGAAAACAGAAAACTTCATGTGTGAAGAAATGAACTGACCCATACCTCAGTACTAAAAAGCATTTGAAATAACTTAATTCTCAATTGCTCTGAATAAAAATCACTTGTTACCAGGGCAGTTCTAAAAAGTATGCAGATGTAGTTTTTTTGTTTTTTTAATAGTCAAGTACTAACTGTTGAGGATATTTTGAAGAATACAGAGATAGAAAGATAGCTACCATTATAATTCTGAAAATAATCTATGTGATCTTAACTGAATGCCATGCCATGAATTTTTTTTTTTTTTTTTTTTAAATTTCTAGTCCTGGGGATTGAGCCCAGGGACACTCTACCACTGAGCTGCATCCCAGCCCTTTTAATTTTAATTTAATTTGATTTTATTTTTGAGACAGGATCTCACTAAGTTGACTCACTAGGCTGGCCTCAAATTGTGATCCTCCTGCCTCAGCCTCCCAAGTAGCTGGGATTATAGGTATGTGCTACCATGTCCAGTTTATAGTAGATTTTTTGAAGAGTCTTTTAAAAACATTTGATGCTCAAACATGAAAAATATATTTCATGCTCTGGTTTACAAATTGTGTGGTAAGTACTCTCTTTCACCCATTAATGAAAGGAAAATATACCATAACACCTGAAAACAAAGTCTTAAGAAGGAATAAGTTTATTAGGTCTTTTGGGATGTAGATTATGAGGTTTGTTAAAATTCACAGCTTTGAAGGGTCTTTGAATTTAAGAGTTTTCTATTAGTCCATAGGAATTGGTCTATGACTGTAAAGGAAGGATGACTACATATTCAATAGTTGATTGCAGGTATTAGGAATGCCTCACAAGTGGAACAAAGTTTTAGTTGGTTCTATGCTTTCCCTTTCCTGTTGTACACCAAGATATGAATTCACAGAATTCCATTACGCATGGAAACCTAAAATAGGAAATAGCTGAAAACCACATCAAAACATCATAAATGTACAATAGGGCCAGGCAACAGTACTATTCCTATCCCAAAAAATCTTCCTGCACTTCACACAACTTGCCCACTATAAATTCAATTGAGTTGACAAGCCATTCTCTCAAAATCAAGTGATTCTCTCAAAGTCCTGTGAGTGAAATTGGCCACCCACGTGAATTACTAGAGATAAATTTTACATCAAAACATCATAAACGTACAATAGGGCCAGGCTTGACTATTGAGAAACAGTGATTGCAAGTGACTTAACCAAGATACAATATCAGTTGGTGGCAGAGTGAGTTTTAAATCATACCAAGCTATTGCTAAATGAAAGAGAATTTTATTTTGAGGCTACAATGGGTTCTTCAAGGAAAGGTGGGTCTGAGAGTAATCTATAAAAATGTCAAAATGAAAAGTGTATGATAGCTAAGCTAGCCTGAGGGCTTTGGGACCAAGCACTTTGATAAGACAAGTAGAAGAATATTTAAAAGAAAAGGTTCTCATCACTAAGAAGGTGAAAACAATCTACAGAAATTTTTTGCAAATCATATACACGGTGAGAGATTTGTATCTACAAAGAACTCTCATAAAGTGAAAAAACAACCCCCGCCCTTTTTTTAATGGACAAAGGGCCACTGGGGTCATGGTTCAGTGGTGGTAGAATGCCTGTATGGCATGCATGAGGCCCTGAGTTTGATCCCCAGCACAAAAAACAAAAACAAACAAAAAAACAACCAAAAAACCAGGATCTAAGTAGATATCTCTCCAAAGGTGATACACAAATATGAATAAATCCAGAAAATGAAACTCAATAATATTAATCATTAGGGAAATACAAGTCAAAAATATCACGATATATCATTCCAAATCCCCTTGACTGGCTAACATTAAAAAAAAAAAAAAAAGACAATAACAAGTATTGGTGAGGTTATGGAGAAAGTAAAACCCTCAAACAAATCTGGTGGGAATGTAAAATGGTACAGCCCTTTAGAAAAAGCCTGGCAATTCCTACAAAGGCTAAACATAGAATCACCAAATGACTGAGTTATTCCACTTCCAGGTATTACACTCAAGAAAACATTAAAACACATGTCTACACAAAAATTTACATGGGAACAGTCATAATAGAAATTTTTTAATAGCCCCAAAATGGAAACAAAACTGTCCATCAAAAGGTGAATGGATAAAAAAATGAGGTACTGCTACACAATGAAATATTATTAGATTATAAACAGGAATGAAGTATTCATACATGCTACAACATGGGTGAACTTTGAAAGCATTATGCTAAGTGAAAGAAGACAGTCACAAAAGACCACATACTGTAAAATTCCATTTATGTGAAAAGTTCAGAATAAGCAAATCTAGAGACAGAAAAATAGATTCGTGGTTGCCTTGGGCTCATGGGGGTAAGGATAATGGAAGTAGGTGATTGGTAAAAGATGCGAGGCTTCTTTCCTGGTTGAGGAAAATGTTCTAAAATTGACTGTAGTAATGGTTGCACAATTCTGTAAGTATATTAAAGAATGTACAATTTAAGTGGGTGAATTGTATGGGATGTGAATTATATTTCAAGTCCTTACAAAGGAAAAAGAAATAGTTCCCTACTTTGTATTTTTTACAGCAGTTATAACTAACAGGCAGCTATTTACGAAACTCAGAACTAGACAATAAATGTCCCAAACAGTTAAATAATGTCGTCAAAAGGTTCAGTAATCGTACTTGAAGCTTTTATGACAAAGGACAAAAACCTGTTTCCTGTGTAATAAAATCTGGAAGACAAAGTGGCCGTGCACAGTGGAAACTAAGGCAGCGAAGTCGCCAGGTGGGTCAGGGATCAAACGTACCTCGAATCACTCGAGGGAAGGGGCGGCGCGAAGGCAGCCTGGAGTCTGCATTTCTGCTGGTAAACCCGGGTAAGCACTCCCACCTGGAAGCTGGCTGCGGCCGGAAGGCGGAGGCAGAGAAGCTGCAGCGGTCCCACAACAAGATCCCAGAGAGGCCTCCGCAGCCGCTCCCGGTTTCCATGGCTAACATCAACTCTGGCGGGCGCCACCCGAGCGGAGCAGTACGCGTGCGCGCACTCGCGCGCTCACGGGCGGGGCCGGCTCGCCTCAGCCTGAGCTCGCTTCCGAGGCGGGCTAAGCGAGGTACCGAAGGGAAGAGACGCGATTCCTTCGGTCCAGGCCTGGGCCCTAGTATGCCAGGTTCGGACTCGTGGGAGGAGTTTGTACTCTGGTCCCTCTCTGGACCCGGACGTTTGCGTTAGGGATTTGAGGGCTGGAGGTTAACCTCTGAACTTTAACCCGGGCCGCGCCCCTACGCAAGAGCGTCGAGGTCCTGGTGACGTGACGTTCTTCCGCAGGGCGGGCTCCAGGGTTGGATGGACGCCATTTTGGGAGCGCCTGGTTATCTGAGGTCGAGAGGGGTTGTCTGACCCCTGACTCAGAAATGTAATAGGGCCCCAATCTTTCAAGGTCGGACGACCTCAATTAATGGCACCTGCTGTTTGGCCTTCACCACCCAACACTTACATGGTAATGAGGACTTTTCAGTGCTTCTTCGTGAACCATGTGCAGTTTGGAAGATTTGGAGCTGCATAACGGGCATACTTCGTTTTATTTTGCTTCGCAGATATTGTTGGTTTTTTGGTTTTGTTTTCGTGTGTTTTTTTTTTTTTAACAAATTGAAGGTTTGCGGCAACGCTACGTAGAACAATACTGTTGGCGCCATTTGTGACTACTTTGTTACATTTCGGTAATTCTCACGATGTTTCAAGCTTTTTCATTATTTTAATATGTTATGATGACTTTTTGATACTCATTGTAATTGTTTTGGGGGGTATTATGAAACATGCCTATATAAAACAGCCAAACTTAATGTTGTGTCTTCTGCTGTTCCACCCATGGTGCTGTTCCCATTTTGCTCCCTCTTGGGCTTCCCCGCTTCCTGAGATACAACACTGTTGAAATTAAGGCAGTTAATAACCCCACAATCCTTCCTCCAAGTGAAAGGAAGACAAAAGCTCGGCTTAGTGAGGAAGGCATGTCCAAAGCTGAGATTGGCCAAACGTTTGACCTCTGGAGAAGAACAGCTACGTTGTGAATGCAAAGGACACATTTTTGAGGGAAATTAAAAAGTGGTACCCGAGGCGGGGTGGGGTGGCGCACACCTGTAATCCCTGCGACTAGGGAGGCTGAGGCAGGAGCATTGAGAGTCAGAAGCGAGGCGCTAGGCAACCCAGTGAGACCCTGTCTCTAAATAAAATACAAAATAGGCCTGGGGATGTGGCTCAGTGGTTGAGTGCCCCTGAGTTCAATCCCCAGTAAGGGGCTGGTGGGGGAGGGGGGGGAGGAAGTGGTATCCAAGGAACACAAAAATGAGAAAAAAGCAAAATAGCCTTATTGCTGTTAGTAGCCTTGATAGAAATCAAACCAGCCTCAACATTCCCTTTAAACCAAAGCCTAATCCAGAACAAGGCCCTAAATCTCTTCCAATTTTTTTGTGAAGGCTGAGAGAGGTGAAGAAGTTGCAGAAGAAAAGTGTGAAGCTAGCAAAGTTTGGTTCATGAAGTTTAAGGAAAGAAATCCTTTCCATAGCATAAAAATACAAGGTCAAGCATCAAGGACTAATGTAGAAGCAGCAGCAAATTATCCAGAAGATCAAGCTAAGATAATTGATGTAGGTGGCTACATTAGATAACAGATTTTCAATGTAGAAGTGGAGCCTGAAGATATGACTAAGTTACAGTAATCATCCTATGATAAAACCGATGAGGAGTTACCTCTTAAAAATGAGCAAAGAAAGTGGCTTCTTAAGATGGAATCTACTCCTGATAAAGATGCTATGAATATTGTTAAAATGACAACAAAGGATTAAGAATATTACATAAACTTAGTTCAGAAAGTAGCAGCAAGGTTTGAGAGGATTGACTAATTTTGAAATTCTGCTGCAGGCAAAACAGCATTGCATGCTACAGGGAAATCTTTTGTGAAAGGAAGAGTCAGTCAATGCAGGAAACTTAATTGTCTTAAATTTTAAGAAATTAACACAGTAGTCCCAGCCTTCAGTAACCAGAACCCTGATCAATCAGCAGCTATCAACATAAAGGCAAGACCCTCCACCAGCAAAAAGACTGATTCACTGAAGGCTCAGATGATCATTAGTATTTTTTAACAATTTCTTATTAAAGGTATGTACATTGTTTTTTAGACTAAATAGACTCGGTATAATGTAAACAAAACTTATATGCTTTGGGAAACCGAAAAAATTGTGTCTCACTTTATTTTGATTCTGGCTTTATTGAGGTGGTCTGGAACCAAATCTGCAGTATCTCCAAGGTTTACTTTGTATATACTTACTATGGCTCATTTATTGCATTTTTTCCCCCAGGTGTGAATTGGTGGCTGCCTTCTTAATTACAAGGAACCAAAATGCACATTGTTGCAACATGTTACTAAGATTTGTAGCTGCATGACTGAGCATTTTATTTCACTTCGCAGTGTATTACTAAAGCTAGGCAAAGTTCTTGTGCCCTCCCCCCTTTTAAAGCCATACCTGATTTATTAGTGTGAGTTTCATTTTAGATCCTGGAATCTTTATGGAATGGCCATAAAGACCCTTATTCTTGCTACAAATTTAAACATATTTCCAGTGCCCACTGCCATGTTCTCCATGAAATTTGGTTTCCTCCCAAGTTCTGGAAACATTTCACATTGCCAGTTAGGAGTCTTCAAGGTGGCTCCTGAGAGCCGTAATAATAATTGGTCTCTGCTGAGATCAATGAGCCCCATGTAAAGGAACATTTAAGTCAATTTGATTTTGTCATGGTACCCATGTTTTCCTGTTATTGATCGACCGTTTCTGCACACATGAGACTTCTAAATGGCTTAAGAATTGTCTCATTTGGGTCTTATCTCAAAACTATAAATGTGAACTATAAATGTGATCTTGTTTTCCTAGCTATATGGAAGTGATGGCTTTGTTCTTAAACATTTAGGGTTTCAGGCCCTGTGGTGGTGGTGGGGAACAATATTAAAAGAGAGTCAAGACATTTTTAAAAGGATATAATTCTTTCTAAAGGTAAAGTAGTTTATGGAAAGTATATGGACGGAAACCTTATGTAATATCAACGACGTGCAGCTATTTGGACACAGTTTGTAGATAGAACCTGTTATAGTTTAGTGTCTTCGCAATTTGATAGATTATGAGAAAGTGTGCTCTTGGGCCATCCATAATGTTGCTACTTCTTTGTGGGGGAGACAAGCTTATTTATCATTAGTCACAGTACCACATTAATTAAACCTTGAAGCATTAGCTAATTGCTAAGAAGTCCAAGTGTAGCAGCATTAAAAGTAGAGGCTCTAGAGTTAGGAATCATGGATTGAAACCCTGACACCACTGCCCATTATTTATGTGATCTTGGGGTTCACCTGATTTCTCTGGTCCTCAGTTTCCATGTATTATAAAACAAAGCTAAATGAGAGAATTTAATTCACAGCTATGTAGGTTGTATTAAATTACTGCAGATCACTTATCATAGTAACCAGCAGTTTAAGTGCTTATTAAGGATGAGCTGATTGTTTATAATACCTTCTTTCTTATGGACTTTATATATTACTGAATCAGAATCAACATTTTATTGTTGAAATATCTGCTGTTTATATTTGTTTTTTCAAATATGTTTCAATACTTTAAACCACTTTTAAAGGTGGTTTATGGTATGAAGACCTTTTAGTTATTATTTGCATATAAAGTATTTATTTCAACATTTACTGAAATTATAGTTCCTCCTTACCAGGAACCATATTAATTGCTTCAGATAACAAAGTCAAATAAAAAATTTCCTCAAGGTTTGCCAAAATATAACTTGGGAAATTTTAATAAGGATATCAGTAGCAGAATGTGAGATAAACCAAGAAGCACTGGAAGTTGCAGGAAAATATGGCACAAAACTTTCTGGTGAAATTAAGGATAGCTGCAAATCTAGTTTTAAAGGGCAAACAGAAGATGAAGATGTGAGAGAGCAGGTATTCCAAATGGAGGGACATTTATTTATTAACTCGCTTGACACATATTTAGAGCATACATAGAATTGGGTTCTTTTGTGCCTCATTTAATCTTAACCTTATGAGATAGTTTATTGTTATTCTTATTTCAAATATAAGGAACCTTAGCTTCAGAAAAGTGAAACGATGAAAGTGGGAGTTGAGCCCATATCTATATGTCTTTACAATTCTCCATCTATTTTCTGTTATCTTGCTGGCTCATATGAAATGAAAAGATGATAAAAAGGTGCTACTTCAACCAAAAAAAATGTATAGCAAGGCATAATCATGACACATGTTTTTGTGTAATGGTATAATGTCAATTCAGTTTTAAGCTCATATTGAAGTTGGTCCTCTTGCTAAAAAGTAAGCACAAATTACCATGAAGCTCTTACTTTGCCCCATTGCCCAGAGGACTACAAAAATTTATGCATCCTGCATCACCAGGAATAATGGATAAAGAAGGGTGAAATTTAAAATAAATAGTTAAGAAGCAAGAACAATAACAACAACAACAAAAATGGGTAAAATTACCTCAGGGCATTAAAAAGATGAGTTTCTAGGACAAGGAAGCAGAATTGCTAGAATTTGGTAAATAGTTGGGTGGGGATGGGAGAAGGTACAGAGGAGTGTGAGGAGACCCAAGAAGAAAAGATGAAGATGAGTCCAACCTTGAAGTCCAGTGACCACAAAGTTTGTGGCACCCTAAATTAAATAAGCAAAGGAGGAAGAATAGTTTTGAAACAAGAGATAATGAAGCCATTCTGAGAGATGTGTTTGAGGGGGTGGTGGATTATTCAGGTATATATATATATCCAGTTAGAAATATAGACATTGGACCTTGGAAGAAAGCTATAGAGAGTACTTAGGGGAAAGAAAAAAAAGAATAATGAAGTTATCAGATTTTAATGCCAGGGTTTAGGTCTTATGGGATGATAATCAAAGAAGAAAATCATTATGAGAAAAAGAAAGGAACTATAAGATGATCAATTTATTAATTGCTAGAATTCATCTCATTGTTTTATATCACAGATAATGATGTGATTGTGTGTGTGTGTAGGGCTGAGAATTAAACCCAGAGCCTTGCATACGCAGGGCAAGCTCTCTTCCACTGAGCCCCATAATATGGATATTTTAAAAAGATTGGGTGAATGAGCATGTGGTGGGTAGAAATTTCAGAGTGTGTGAGCATATTCACAGGCATTTAGGTTGGGTGACACTCA